AAATTTTATAACAAGGATTTGCAAGATTTCTTGACTTTTGTTGCTGTATTTGTTGGTGATTGATGACTTAATTGAACTATTATCACATGAATCATCCGGATAATGTAGTGATTGTATAACCAATGCATGTGTTTTTGAAATGATTATTAATAAAGAAGTATTATCCAACTCCAGAAGTGAATTCATAAACATGTTTTTTTTTTTTTTAAGATTTAATATATACGTATATCACCCGAAGAAGGCCACCTCGGCGTGGTGTAATGGTTAGCAAGCTTGTTTTGATAAAACAGTTACAACTGAATAGTGAGTTCGATCCTCAATGGGTGCCGCATGATTTCGGCCTTGCGCCACATCTAAGCTACGCTTAGAAAATCAATATATAGCGCAACTCGAGGTGGTGTAATGGTTAGCAAACAAGTCTCGCTCGAACAATTATGACTGAGTAGTGATTTCAATAATCACTGGGTGCCCCTTTCTTTCGGCTTTGTGCCACATCTAAGCTACGCTTAGAAAATCAATATATCGCCTGAAGAAGGTCGGAGGGTACAATCGAAACGTCGTGAATACGACAATAAAGATGAGAACAGACCGAACGATGTAAATAGTTTTAATACTTTAATATTTTTGTGGTAACTTTGGTAGAGATTATGCTTTGGCGGTAACACTAATCTTAGCGAAATTATACTATGAAAACTTGAAGGCCGTTTTCTCTGATTTCAATGTTAATGCTAATGGTTATATTAGCCGTTTCCTTGTAAGGAAACATTCGACATTCATTGATCGTCCAGCCACTGCTACATTTCCAAAATCTTTTAATTAAAGCGATTTTAAGGAAAATAGATTTCTCAAATCCAGTAGATCTTTTCTAACCCCTTTTCTTTTCAAGTAGTCTGGAGTTTCAATATATTGATGATGTCGCTCGAAAAGACAATAATTACTTGTGCTATACATTTTAATTGTTGCAGCTCTTTTAACTCCTCACGTGATGTAGATTCTGTTATTTTTTTTATAGTTCATTTTTTTGTGATTCTGCAGAGCCAGTCCACAAGATTTGATTAAGGAGGGTATTCACTGACCTTAGGCAAAATGTCTATCAGTTATTATGTGCCAGGCGTGATACACGCTTAGGCGATCATTTATCTTTCGATACAGGACTGACGAGGCAGAATTATTGCTATCAGTAGGTTGCTATTTCTTTCTGCGGTAGAACAGTTGCTATAGTTACTATTATTAATATATGTTATTATAGAACCCGATCTGTCCTGCTATTTACCCATAGCTGGAGGGTGAAGAAGAGGATTCATATCTTTCCCAAGGATATTTGCACCTAAGTGAATGTAATAGATTTGACTGGAATTCGAACTCGGCTCTCCGATTCCTCAATCCGAGCCGATATCCATTACTTCACCGTGCCTCTATGACAAGTTAAAAATTGAATCTTCACAAGGTGCTTCATTAATCAGGCCTTTGATATTTTTGGAAGGGGTTATGCTTTGACGGTATCCAGGATTTTAGCGAAATTATTTAATCGCTCCTAGAAGCAAACATTTTTCTCAAGTCTGTGGAAATTACCAAATTTATGCCCGTTTTTCAGTCTCTTCAGTTTCATTAGCAAACCTTCTGAGACTATAAACAACAAGACGGTTGTCGATCACCTAAACTGGAAGAAACTCATGAACAAAAAGCAATACGGGTTTCTATCGGCCCGAACCCCAGATGAATGTCCTAACTGCCATTAATCACAGAACCAGCGAGGCACTAAACAACAAATACATCTCAAGTACTATCGTGTTAGATATTTCAAAGGCCTTTGACAAGAGAGGGAACATAAAGGGTTAATGCACAAGCTCTCTATCTATGCAACTACCGGGAGTGTCTACTTAATTATAAAGTCGCTAAAGGTATTTATTAACAATCAGTCCACCGAGTCCCGATGCTGATGATACAAAAGTTTATGCGTGCACCTCAACAACACTAAATATCCAGAAATTGACAGTTGATCTATTTTCTCTCATAATATATATATATATGCGATGGATACATAGTCGCTTGAATTACGCAAAAATGAACACTGACAGATATATTCACCAAAATTACGCAAAAATATCTTGAACTACTAAAGAGTACATTTATTCAATAAAATCATCATTGACTTCAACCACGACCTCCAGACGACTTCGGAATCTCCTGCAACTTTTCTAGATGTCTCCTTGATTAAGTTGGTGAATACTGCCATAATCCTTGCCTTTAGTTCATCTTTGGTGTTACAAAGAGTTTTGTTGGTCTCTTGCTCAACTGTGCCATACACATAATAATCAAGGTGGTTGCAATTTAGGGAGTTAGGTGGCCAAATATAAAGAGTGATGTGGTCGCGAAAATTACCTGACAGCCATGACTGGGTTCGCTTGCTTGAGTGACATGGTGTAGAGTCCTGTTGCTAGACAGAGAGTTTTCCAGATTCCACTCTTTCTCCAAAGGTAGCACTACCTCCTCAAGACACTTGATGTAGGTCTCCATGTTGAGTTCGAAGCCCTGTGGGAAGATGGATGGTTGCATAAAGTCGCCATCACTTATGAACACAAACAAACACCATTAGACTCATCCAACTCTTTCCGAATTCTCTGAACTGTCTACAGATTGATACCTAACGGGCGAATGCCAAGCTATACAGCATGCCGTTTCCAAATATCTGGCGGAGTGAATTGCATGGTGCTTTTTTTCTCACAGCTGGTTCTCAACTGATCCTACGATACTGTACAGTCAACACAACCATCAACAAACGAAATTAAAAATATAAAATGGCGACAATTCCTCCATGTCATACTGCGTATAAAAATATACATATTCAATTAAAAAGAACCAAAATACATCCTTGATAGTGGCAGTCGAACAGTTTTTACACAAGTGTCCCCGGAAAATAAAACACTAACAAAAATTAATAAAAATCTTCATCACAGTTAGTCGTCTTTAACGAAAATTTATATATATATATATATATATATATATATATATATATATATATATATATATATATATATATATATATATATATATATTCGTACAAGTGTTTTCTTTTCTGGACAAGTTTACAAGTCCAATGGACTGTACCCCCCACGAGTCACGTCTTCCATACCCAAGCCCCTCCATCCAGAATATTAGAAACCGGTTCAAGCAAGGATATTCAAGAGATAGAAATTATTAAGGGAATTTGAAAATTTGAAAATCATAATTAATTAATTCATCAAATCTAGAATTCTAGAAGTAAGTTTCTAGTGCTTCCTGTTATATCCTAACGATCCAGGTTCGATTTTCGGTAGTAGATACGCACTGTTGGTGAGTCCCAAAATAGAATAAAACGGCTGTCCAATACTCTCTGCATTCTGTTGACAATTCTTCTAGATTCGATGAATTACTTAATTCTGTGAGATATATATATATATATATATATATATATATATATATATGTGTGTGTGTGTGTGTGTAGCACTCTCTAGCTTTTTTTTTGCGTATGAGGTTTTTCATGCGTCGCTCTTAATGACGTACTTGTATTTTACCTTCGATGACTTTTAAGGTCAGCTTGAAAGCTACACAACATTCCACATACAGAGCAAGGAAAAGTACCCCTTGTTAAGACTACAGGAAGATATGAATTGGGATTAGTGTTCATCTTTGTAATACGTCGTTGTGTGACTTCTAAAATGTTTTTATTCCTTTGAGTTACATATTACCCCGTTTGGCACGATCAGAAGTCATTTCATTAATGTGCGAAAGGGGACGCTAATATAATTTAGAATTGCTTATGTTTATCCTTGGACCTAAACAGTTTTATACATGTCAGGTCACTATACGAGTGCTACTATATGAATGCCTACCTGGAACTTGTTTGTCACTGACGAAATACGGAGGCAATGTGGGCGGTTTTCTGCATGTTCTTGCCGTGAAGGTTTAATTTGGCGGGACCAGGGAATGTAAATCGTCCGGTCACTTTCCAGTAGAAAGTAGCCGTAGAGCGGCGAAAGCTTGCCTCATCCCACCTGTGGGAGAAGGGTTGAAGGGTGGAGAATAATTCGTCACCTACAAGGGCTCGGAGACGCTTTTGGTGTCTATCAACTTTGGAGAGTGAGATCTGGACAGCTCCAGCACCAATATGACTCCATTTTTGATCTGATCTGGCTCATGTAAAGATGGTGGATATCAAGAGTCAGGTACTTACTTTCTTTTGATGGTTTCAATCTAAGTTTTGCATTTCTCTAGAAAGTTTCTATATTTTCTCCTCACACCAATGATATTTGATATCTAAAAATAAAATATTCTGATTTTTAGTTGGTGACAGATGATGGAAAATATTTAAATGACATGATGATTTTTAATTGAATATTTGTTACGTAAAAGCAATTTTTTATTCGTTGCATATATTCATGTAGGTAGATAGACAGATAAGGAGTCTGACAGAGAGATAGGTAGATACACGCAAAAGGGAAGAAAGTTTTTATTTGTATATTCATAACTTGTGGCATTACTTATTCGCAAGACATATAATGTTCGATAATTTATATTTTCCACTGCGGCATTTGAAACAAAAATAGTCCTAAGTCATTACTTACGATAAGTTTTCTGAAAGTTTGTAATAAATTTTCTCCTAGAAATAAACTAAACTCGTCATTTTATATGGAAATATCTCTAAGACATATAAACCTAAGATATATATATATATATATATATATATATATATATATATATATATATATATATATATATATATATATATATATATATATATAGATAGATATATATATGGAAATATCTCGAAGACATATAAGCTCAAGATACATTATATATATATATATATATATATATATATATATAGTGGGTTGGTGTGTGTGTGTGTAATATAAAACTGACCCATGTCAATTATGACAATGGGTGTAATAGCATTTTTGCTGTGATTTATTGAGCACTAAGTAAGATTATTGGAGATATATTTGCCTACGAATTCACAGATTTCACCAGTCAAACTTTATATCTATCTATCTATCTATCTATCTATCTATCTATCTATCTATCTATCTATTGCACGCTCGTTCGATCGATCATTCAGTCACTTCCAGGAATATTTCATAATAATTTTGACAAATATTACCACAGACAGTGCAGAAGAGAGTTTTTATTTTTACTTTTTTGTATTTTCAAGGGAGGTTCACCCTGGACAAGGCTTGAGGGGCCCTCGTGGCAGAGAGTTACTAAGAGGCACAGTTTATGCTGATAGGTGTGGTAGATAACGGATGACACTAGAAGTGAACAAGTTAAGATTGTAGTGATCTGGTGAACATTCTTTTGAGAGTCGGTTTCACGTAGCTGTTTTTCAAGGAAAAAAATTGTGCGAGTGGAAATTGTGACAATAGGTTTCACGCTTTTTCATCAAAAGCGTGAAACGCAGGGTCCCAATCTCAAATCCATAAGACTTTTTTACCTATCTACATACATACATATTATATATATATATACATATATATATATATTTGAATTTGTAGGTCTGATGAATTAGATCGTGATTACGATTCCAATGTAATAAATTATAACCATGGAATATTAGTGTTTGAGCCTTTATATTATATTCTTACTCTGCCCTGGCCATTGAGTTCTACCTGGTTTCTATCCTCTTGAGAATATATATATATATATATATATATATATATATATATATATATATTGATAATATTATATATATATATATATATAAATATATATATATATATATATATATATATATATATATATATATATATATATATATATATATATTGACCGCTAATATTATATTGGGAAAGGTATGAATCCTCTTCTTCTCCCTCCAGCTATGGGTAAAATGAAATAGCAGGACAGACCGGGTTCTATAGCCTTGGATGGCAACTGATCTAGGAGAATGACAACTCTGAATTCAAAACCTGCGGAGGATCGTTTGGGGACCTTGTGGCACGTAGTGCACCAAGTCTCTGTGTTCGGTCCTTCAAAAAGTGTGGATGGTTCTGCACAAAACCTTCACCACTATAATCAAATCTCATGTGCCGTTGTCGGGCTTTCGGTTTCCTGGGAACTGATCTGCTCGGCCCTCATACGTCGAAATCGACGGAGAGTCGACTATATATATATATATATATATATATATATATATATATATGTGTGTGTGTGTGTGTGTGTGTGTGTGTGTGTGTGTGTGTGTGTGTGTGTGTGTTTGTATATATTTACACAGAATGGAAAACCGGGCATTTATAGCTCTAAACCTCTTCGCAACATCTGACCAAATATCACAAATCTGTGTGTGCTTGTTGCATTAAGAATATTAAAAAGAGTACAATTACGTCAGGTTCCTGTACAATCCCTGAAGTTAAGCAACGTCGAGGCATATCCCTATATCGCGTTAATAACTTTAATGTCTTGTATTACTAAAACATAATTATCTCTTAAAAGAAAAGCCTTACAATTTTAAAATGCATTTTGTAGATCAAATCAGAGTTTCGCAGTTCTTCCCTCATTTTTTTTCTGGGTCCTGATGAGTGAAGCATCTCTAAACTCTAAGTTTATTGCCAATAAGTATTTTGTGTAGATCGAACTGATAAAAGTTGGAGGCGCCTTAACTTTCATGTCAGGTGTCGAGTTTGTCAGTTTGTACTAAATTTGAGATATGCAAGAAATAATATTCACCAAATGTTATATCCCAAAACAAATTAACAAGAAAGCGAGATGCATGATATCCATTATGGCCAACGCTAAACAGGATGTTTTACATAACGCAAAATGTCAACGTTCACGGAGGCGTACAAGATCAAGTTAAGAGTGAAAATCCCATCGTGTGTCTGTCCCAGAGTGTCTTGCAGAATCTTTATAGTCTTTGACAGTAACTAAGAAATTTACAAGTGCTTCGGACAGAAAATAAACATAGATGAGAGCAATTAAGACCTACGTGCATAAAAGATGGCTCATCCCATTTCACAAGAGGATATTGTTGGTACATCAAATGTTGCTGGAACTTCATCCATGTTCCTTATGTGACTTATGATAAACAAGTCTCACCTAGGTTAGTTGATAATAAAAATCTAATATTTGCGAACATGAAATGCGATAAGTCATCGAAGCTCTAAGGTAATTCTTGCAAACATAACCATATCGCTTCCATCATATCCGCAAACGCATAGACACACACATATATATGTGTGCGTATATGTTTGCATATATATATATATATATATATATATATATATATATATATATATATATATATATATGTATATGTATGTATATGTCTGTCTGTATATATATATATATATATATATGTATATGTATGTATGTATATATATGTATGTATATATACATGTATGTATATATATATATATATGTGTATTTATATATATATATATATATATATATATATATATATATATATATGCGTGTATGTATCTGTGTATATATATATATATGTGTGTGTGTGGATATATATTTGAGTGTATAAATATACGCGTGTATGTAGATATATTAGTGTATATAGATATGTCTGTGTGCATGTGTGTATATATATGCATTTTGTGCGCATATATCTGTTTCCTTGTGTGTATATATATATATATATATATGTTTGTGTGTGTGTGTCTGTGTATATATGTTTGTGTATATATATGTATATGTCTGTGTGTTTATGCATATGTTGGTGTACATGTATGTGTATTTATGCATATGTATATATGTGCCTGTGTGTTTGGTAAGTGTATATATGTGCGTGTTTGTGTATATATATGTGTGTGTGTGTGTGTGTGTGTGTCTGTTTTTATTTCTGAGATGAGGCATTATGTACACTATTTACATTATTCGGACTATTGTCCTCATCTTTGTCGCCATATTTATTACAACGTTTCGCTCGTTGTACGCTCCGGCCTTCTTCAGGTGGTTGGATTGTCGAACTGAACATTTTGTTTCGCTCACTGAGGTAGACTCTTCTAGTTTCACGTGCCATGTCCAATGGATGTCATTTATCACTTATCTCCTGTTAATTCCCCTCTCCAAGTTCTCCACTGCCTTTACCAGGTATCCAAGTCACACTTTTTGGGTCCTGTCACTGGATCTAACTAACGCCTTTATCCACTGTGTCATGTGTCTTTGATGACATCTGTCTATGAACTTCTGAGTATTATAAACCTAATGTCTTCAGCGATCATTTTTTACCAGTGCTCATATTGCAATTGTTGCTGTTATCATTGCATGCTTTTACCAGAGCTCATATTGTAATTTTTGTTGTTATTATCGTTTTTCTCTGGCACTCCTTATTACTGGTTCCCATATTGTATTTATATCTATGGTTGGTCGGCTCAGGAGATTTTGTGGCCTATCATATGTGCTGATTCCTTAAGTTTACGAATTTTCCAATGATGTTCTTTGTCTATGATCTCAACCTGATCCCACAGAGGACTTCCCGAGTAAGTCCCCACCCCATAGAGGAGATCAGGACTAAAGACGTACGCTATCCCGTGCAGCTGTGGAAAGAAATATAAAGGGGAGACAGGCCACCCCCTTAAGGTAAGGCTTCAAGAGAACCAGAAAGGTTTAACACGAGGGCATGTGGAAAAATAAGGCGTGGCTGACCACATATGGAGAGAAAAGGGAGATCACCGCCCTGTTGTAGGTTCTGAATATTTGGGAAACTTTGTTTGAGAAAGACCATACGGGATAGATTCAGTTTCGGTAATTTTCTATTTCAATCTGGTAAACAGGAGAAATAGACTGTTCCCTTTATTTCTCGTATACGTTCGAATATATTCGCAAATTATGTCCACAGAAGCAAAAGGTTGAGTCGAAAGTGCAAATTCCAAAACGATATACCAAACCCAAACAAGTACACAAATTTAAATATCTAGGAAGTGTTTTAACAGAGGACGCAAAGTGCGACACTAAAATTCAAATGCGTGTTGGCATAACCAAAGATGCACCCGAAAAGCTAAGCAAAATATTAAGAAACAGGAAGATTTCCTTTGAAACAAAGAAAAGAATACTAAACTGTTACACGGCATCTGTCTTTCTGTATGGCAATGAGTGCTGGATAATCTTCTCAAAGATGAAGAAGAGACTTAAAGCAACAGAAATGTTTTTCTTCAGAAGGATGCTGTGGATACAATCGACCTAGCCTATGAGCATTGAGGAGGATTTGGATAAAATGGAAACAAAAAGGAAACTTACAGTTATCATCACGAGGAGACAGTTGACATTTCTATGGCACATAATGAGAGCAGACGGTTTGGCAAATCTGATACTCACAGGACAGATAGAAGGCAACAGGTACAGGTGAAAACAGCGCATGACATATTTAGTGAGCTTGACTAAATGGATGGCGGGACAGGGCTTAGGAGAAATAATAGAATAAAAATTTATTACGAGCTACAAAGGAAAGGAAGTTGTGGAGAGCCATGGTCGCTTTACGTTTTGAGGGGACATGACACGTAGAAAGAAGTAGATAGTTCAGCTGGCACTTTGGTGAAGACGATTCCATGTCGAAAATATCAAAACAATGATGTCTTGCAAATTGAATGTCTCATTTTTTTTTTATACTGGGATTTGAACCTCTTCGCAATTCGCTTGCTTGCGTACGATTTAGATTTAACCTTCACTATTGGATATATTCGATAGGGGGATTAGGTGGGTCGGAATTACAAAGACAGAGGCGATCAATCGAATATAATCCCGGTCACGATCAACTCAGCTGTCGATTCGCAATCAAAATCGATTACATGAATAGAAAAGCTAAAAACATCGAAATTCAGTTGATTACAATTTTTTTAACTGTCAATCGAGATTCTTCCAAATGCTTTGCCAAGACCTGTGCGTCTCTCTCTCTCTCTCTTTCTTTCTCTTTCTCTCTCTCTCTCTCTTTCTCTCTCTTTCTCTTTTCTCCTTTTCTCTCTCTTTCTCTCTCTCTCTCTTTTTCTTTCTTTCTTTCTCTCTCTCTCTCTTTCTCTCTCTCTTTCTCTTTTTCTCTTTTTCTCGCTCTCTTTCTCTCTCTTTCTTTCTTTTTCTCTCTCTTTCTCTCTCTCTTTCTGTTTCTCTCTTTCTCTCTTTCTCTTTCTCTCTCTCTTTCTCTTTCTTTCTCTCTCTCTTTCTCTCTCGTTCTCTCTCTTTCTCTTTCTCTCTCTCTTTCTCTCTCGTTCTCTCTCTTTCTCTGTCTCTCTCTCTTTCTCTTTCCGTATGCGTGTGTTGTTGCGTTTCACATGCGCATCTTGAAAACATCCCCCTTCCATTCACTCACTCGCAACATTTAGAGTTTCTGCTTGCGCGCTTCATTCTATTCGACGTGTCATTTAAAAGCAGAACTTTAATGCCCGTCTCGATATGTCGAATCATAACGAATCAACAAATGCTGAGCTGATTTAGATTATTGAAAACATAATTAATCATGCTTATTATTTTATTTATTTCGTGACAGTTGCAGAATTGCTATTCAAAACAACGAAATCAGTCATAGCAGAACATGTATATTGTCTTTTGGACAGGGTGCGCTCAGGGGCGACTCCGTCGAAGGACAGAGTCGCAACGAAGGAGAATTATACTGAGAGGTGCTGGCCCTGGGGAACAGCTGCTCGAGGCCGCATCCTCTCTTTGCACCGAGGCCAGCGCAATTTTTGTCCCTGGCCCGGGTGTATGCGCTCGGTATCCCCACATTAAACAGACCTCAGTGCCACAACCTGACCCCGTGGGAGTGTTAAGTAAATACAAACATTGAAAAAAAAAGCTGGGACTCTGGAACTGAGTCAAAGTCATGGACATTTAACAAAGTTGGAAAGTCTGGGAAAAAAAATCGGGAGATGGAAAAACTGTGGTTTTAATATTATGAACAAATGAACTCTGCCATGCTTAGTGGTGCGAAACGAAATGACGACGAAAATACAGGAAAGCCGAATAATTTAATGGCTGAAATAGGCCGTTGTAAACAGCAAAGATGAATGCAGGTATCTTAAATATTTTTTTTTAGAAAAATGGAAACTAATAATATTTTTCAGACAATCTAGGAAAGCTGAAGAATCGGCGGATGAAATGATTTGGTAAAAAAAATAAAGCTGGGATCGATTATCAGAAAACATCTTCGCAATCTTGAACAACCTTCACGAAAATATTTCATAAGATGCAAAAAGAATTAATCAAAATATTGTGTTTCAAGTAGCAACAATGAAAAACTCTTGTTGACGAAACCCAACACCGACTCCCATAGATCACATACCAACCAGCCAAATACTTAGTGGAATTGGCAAAGACGTCATTACTATGGGGCCCGCAAGGATAAGATGTTACGGGTTCGAATCTCGTTGAAAGCTAATGTTTGCTGTTCTATACATAAAGTTTCTTTGATGCTCGCAGATTGTAAAAGCGAGCAGAGAACTGCAATAAAAAAGCAAATCATAAAAATGAATGAAAAACTTGTCAAAAATGGAAATCATTTATGTAAGAAATTCCAGCAATTGAAAAACGGTTATCTGTCAAAAAGTATGTAGAGATTGCGACAGAAATATCTCCTAGAATTACATCCCAAATTAGGTAAGGACATAACCTAGAGGAAGGCACCATTGCCACTACTATTTTACCATTATGTGGGAGGTATTTCTGCCACACACTGTGTAATTAAGGAAATGATTACTTGGAGATAATCGGAATGGTAATCTTTGCTCATTGGCTACCATTACGTTTGTCTCTTTTCAAAGAGGCGCCTGAAGAAGGAGAATGATTTACATAACGAAAAGGGATTTGGTTGGAAAGTAATCTCAGCTTATGAATGAAAATCTATTTGCCTAATAATTTTATTGAAACTCGTAACTCGTAACATTTTGTTTCTTTAAGTCTCGATGTCGTCTTTTCGAAATCGTCCGCTTGCATCATGAGGCATTAATAAGCATACACTCGCATTTCCATGTCTTTTCTGGATGCGATGCAGCCGTAAATAGAGGAACGCTCGGGGCAGATGAAGCTCCGTAACTGGAAGATGAAACCAGACTGAAACGAAGCAAGCTGACAAGGACATCTCCATGGCTTGCAATGCGCCTTTGGCCATGGCGTTGCGTCCGCCTCATTGGAAGCCTAATGTAATAGAATTCTATGGAATACAACCTCTCAGCCTCCAGCAACAGTCAACACCAATAACAACCAAGATAGCATGACTTGTTGATGATGCTGCGATTTAGTTGGGATGAAAGTAAATCAGTTCAAGGTATGTGACCCCCGATGACCCTTTCACTGTTCGCTTTATTTCCAAAACAATTCCAGTTCTATGGTATTCGGAACTGTTTAAACAGTGTGTTGTATGTGGAGATTGTTTTTCGTCTATTTTTTTTTCTTCGCTTTTTTATTTCCTTTTTCTCTTTTTTCATTTTCTTTTTTATTTTATTTTTCATTTTCTTCTTCTGCTTTCATTTTCTTCTTTTTCATCGTTTTTCGTCTTCTTTTTCATCTTCTTCATCTTTTTCATCTTTTTTTCTTCTTTTTCAACGTCTTCATTGTCGTTTTTTATTTTTCTTTTTCTTCTTCTTTTCATCTTCTTTTACATTATTTTCTTCTTCTTCACTTTCTTCTTCAATTTCTTTTTTCAATTTCTTTTTCATCTTCTTTTTATTTTCTTGTTTTTCCTCTTCTTTTTCATCGTCATCGTCTTTGGCATCTTTTTCACTTACTTCTTCTTCATCTTCTTTTTCCTCTATTTTTTCCTCTTCTTTCTCTTCTTCTTCGCTTTCTTCTTCATCTTTTTCATCTTCTATGATCTTCTTTTTCATCATTTTTCGTCTTCTATTTTTTAACCTTTTTTTTTACTTCTTTTTCATTTTCATCTTCTTCTTTCACCTTCTTCATCTTTTTCTCTCTGCCTTCTCCTGTTCTTTTTTTATCTTTTTCTTCATCCTCTTTTTCATGTTCTTTTCCTCTTCATTTTCATCTTCCCCTTTACTTTCTTCTTCTTCTTCTTCTTCTTCTTCTTTATTTTAACTTTTGTCTTTTTTCTATTCCTTTCTCTCAGTTCCCCCCTCCTTCTCGTTTTCTTTTTTTCATTATTTATGGTATCCTTCTTTTCTTCCATTCCTTTTCCCTTTATTTATCCCCTTTCCTCCTCCTCCTTCTTTTTCTTCTTCTTTTTCGCTCTTTAGTTTTTTCTTTCTTTCTTTATTCATTTCATATTTCCTTTTTCATCTAAAATTCTTCTTTGACTGTTTTTTAGTTTCCTCTTCCTCTTGACTAGTTTTTATTTATGCCTTTGCACATTCAAATCAGATGTTTGGTGATTTTTTGCGAGAGATCTAATGACAGCAATTCTTCTCAAATCTAAAAGAATTGCTTTAGTATTCTCGAAGACCCCAATCTGGACTGTGTCTAAAAATTATTGAATATTCAATTCCACAAATCTTGTCAACATTTCAATTTCTTATGGTTTGTTTTTACACAGTTCAAATATGTCAATTATTAGCGGAACTGCGTCTAACCATATGCCTCTAGCTCTCGATTGAGGTCCTTCTATATTTCCAGTATTTTCTTTCTTTAATGTCTACCTACGTGTGGAGTCTGACAGACGCTCTTTAGCTATCAGATTAGGTTCTTTCACTTAGGCGGGATGTTTTTCCCTGGATTTTGTGACATAAACAGCGGCTAAATCATAAAAAGCTGTCATTTACTGCGTTTTTATTTTTTGTCTATTATTGTTCTTTTTCTTTGTCGTCTTTTCTCTTTCTTTCTTATGTTTCTCATTCCTTCAGTCGATTTTTATTTCCTTTTTTCTTCTTTCTCTTTTCCTTCTCATTTCAGCCTCTTTTTATTATCATTTTATTAGGTTGCAAAATAATGACGTAATAATGTCGTTTTTGACGTTAAAAAATACGTCAAAAAAACGACATTATTACGTCATTATTTTTGCACCAACCTAATATAACTCAGCTTGTTTCTTATTTAGTTATTTAACACCTCCGTTACGCTCTGTAACAGATTCCCCTGTCTCCTGCCCACAATTTACCTTGCTTGTCTTTTGCCCGTAAATATTTGATATAGCAACAGAAAACTGGGAAAATATCTAAACTGTTTTTAAACTTCACGCAAGCTTCACCCTGTGATCCGTTGAAGCTGCATATATGTGCTTAGAGAGAGAGAGAAAAAAAGAATGAAAGAACGATTGAGATAAAGAAATTGAAGAAAGATGAAGTGGTAAAGTCCTCATGCATTTGAGATCTACTTCAGTGAAATGTTACAATAACATAAAGTTCCAGGCACAAATTTTTAGTTTCAGTTATAAAACTTAGAAAAAAAAAAAACTGCGGAATTTCGTCGGGTCCCGTTGTATCTGATTGAAGGAAATATACGAAAAGATTTATTATAATGCAATATTCAGCATGTTTGTATTTAATGAAGGTTTACAATTTATCCAACTTAAAATGAAACGAAATGATGTCAAATGTCAAGCGTAAAATTTCCATGGAACAAATCAAGTTATTTTTATTAGCTTTTGCTTTCTGTTAAATACAGTCATATGCCGGTGGATTTCATTACACACACACACACACACACACACACACACACACACATATATATATATATATATATATATATATATATATATATATATATATATATATATATATGTGTGTGTGTGTATGACTGTATGTATAAATATATATATATATATATATATATATATATATATATATATATATATATTATAGTAAAAAGAAAAAACAGTAAGATATATAAACCGGTGTTCTTATAGATATTTTTATTTAAAAAAACAGTGCTCAATGTAAATTTACAGAACATGAATATTATAAATTAACTGATTAAAAATATGGTTCCTTCTGCTATACAGGAATTACCACGTTTCAAAAACTAAAAAAGCTAAAAACTTAAAATTTAATTACACAATTAAATTAAAAGTATTAGTATTTTAAATCAGTAAATATATAATACAAACACACACACACAAATATATATATATATATATATATATATATATATATATATATATATATCGCTACAGAATTGCAGTCATGTTTCGATGCGTATACAACGCATCCCATCAGGTTATATTAATTCATGCTAATCGCCCGATTAGTTGTGTTGATACGCATCGAAACACGACTGCAATTATGTAGCGATTTTTAACATGTTCTTCGATGTAATATCCTAAAAGAATATATATATATATGTATATATATATATTATATTTTTTATATATATATATATATATATATATATATATATATATATATATATATATGTGTGTGTGTGTATGTGTGTGTGTGTG